TCTTTCTACTTGAGCCTTCGGTATCAGCTCCTCATTTTTCCCCTCCCTTCATGCTCCCCCTTCCCTCATGTGCCCTTGATAATTTATAAATTATCATTATTTTGCCATGTCTTACACTGCCTGATGTCTCCCTTCACCTACTTTTCTGTGTTCACCCTCCAGGGAGGAGGTTATATGTAGATCCTTGTAATTGGTTCCCCCTTTCTACCACCACCCCTTTCTCCCTCCACCCTCCCAGTATCGCCAATCTCAGCACTGGACCTGAGGAGTTCATCTGTCCTGGATTCCCCCTGTTTCCAGTTCCTATCTGTACCAGTGTAAATCCCGTGGTCTAGCCGGATTTGTAAGGTAGAATTGGGAATCATGATAGTGGGGGGAAGCATTTAAGAACTAGAGGAAAGTAGTATGTTTCATTGTTGCTACCCTGCACCCTGACTGACTCCTCCTCTCACCGCGACCCTTCTGTAAGGGGATGTCCAGTTGCCTACAAATAGGCTTTGGGTGCCCACACTGCAGTCCCCCTCATTCACAATGATAGGCTTTTTTGTTCATTGATGCCTGATACCTGATCTCATTGACACCTTGTGATCACACAGACTGGTATGGTTCTTCAATGTGGGCTTTGTTGCTTCTGGGCTAGATGGCCGCTTGTTTACCTTCAAGCCTTTTAAGACCTCACACGCTGTATCTTTTGATAGCCGGATACCATCACCTTTCTTCACCACATTTGCTTATGCACCCATTTGTCTTCAGCGATCGTGTTGGGAAGGTGAGCATCATGGAATGTGTGAGCTTTTAAGAGGGCAGATGCTGCTCCCAAAACTAGGGTGTAGAACACTATCTATTTTGTTAGACCAATTAACTAAGTTGGCCCTTGATGTTATCGTTTTAACCCCCTTGACCAAACCTGTGAGTTACTTGGATAAGTCTAGGAAGTCTCTATAATTGTGTGTGTGCTTTATTGTAGCTATATGAATACATAGGCAGCACACACAAACGTATGCATGTGTGGCTATAGGAACACCTACACAAATATGTGCATCTATATCTATGTTGGTTTCATTTCTAGGATAAGCTGTGAACAGTTTGGTTTTTATACCTGTTTACTCATCATCTGCAATATGCCCTGCAATTGCAATGCAACAGTGAACGATCTTAAGGAAATGTCTGAAGCCTGCTGTGCCAGTGAAGTATTTGTGGAGGAGATTGGTCAGTTTGTGGCACTGGTGAGAAGGCCCTGGCTTGAAATGGATGAAGATTTACATATATATTCAAGGTGTTCTGGTGGAACTGTGGGTTAGGAATTGTGTTGGTAACCACGAGGTCAGCAATTTAAACTCATCAGCCACTCCTAAGACTAAATTGAGCCTATCTGCTTCCATAAAGATTTACAGCCATAGAATTGATTGTGGTGATGAGTGTAAATTCTTCTTGATATGACTGAATTATCGAATTGTATAACGTGGGTGAAGTTCCAATAAAACTGTGAAAAAAGATTTACAGCCTTGGAAACCCTGTACAGGTTTGTTATGAGTCTGAATTGACAACATGGCAGTGGATTTAGTTTATGTACATGAGCAGGGTGATCTTTAGAAGTTTTTCAGACAGAAAGCAGAAGGAAAAAAGGAAGAGAGATGAAGTAAAAGAAAGAGGGGCTGAGGGCCCCCCTAATCCCAACTACATGGACTGCTTCCCCTCCCCCCAGAAGAATTTACTTCAGAGGACAGCACTGAAGCTGCAGCTCAGGGACATGTCTGGTCAGAGGACATGGGAGCAAATGAAGGGGGAGGACAAGAGAGTGAAGCACAGCCTGACCCACAAAGCCTTGAGGATGATATTCCTGCTCAGAGCATCCAATGCACAGAGAAGATCATATGGCTGGCCTCACTGTGAGACACGATATCCCGCACTGACCCATAGCCCTACAGGGGACAACACGAGACACTGTGGAAATTTCGCCTTATCTGACCCCACCACACCGAGGCAAAACATTAAAGGTGTGTAGCAGAACAGCAAAGGGGAGCAGAGCAAGGAAGTCCTGAGGGAGTACCAAAAATAGACTTTAGGGCCAGGGCGTGGGACCCCATCAGACTCAACCAGAAAACACTCCTAAAGGCGAACAAACAGTCCTTGAACTATTTACGGACCTTTTTTTTCTTTTTGTCATTTTTTTTTTGGTTGTTGTTTTTGTTTTCTTTTGTTGCTTTGTTTTGCTCTGTCTTGTTTTTGTGCATGTTACTGTTTCCACAGGTCTATTTAGATAAGATAGGCTGGATAAACAATCTGGATGAGAAAACAACAGGACCGACGGTTCCGGGGAGACATGGGAGAGGGGGAGATGGGGGAAAGGAAGTGGTGTTAACAAACCCAGGGACAAGGGAACAACAAGTGATCCAAAATCGGTGGTGAGGACGGTGTAGGAGGCCTGGTAGGGCTTGATCAAGGGTAATGTAACCAAGAGGAATTACTGAAACCCAAATGAAGGATGAGCATGATAGTGGGACAAGAGGAGAGTCAAAGGAAATAGAGAACTAGGAGGCAAAGGGCATGTATAGAGGTCTAAATAAAGGCATGTACATATGTAAATACATATGAGGATGGCGAAATATATCTATGTGCATATATTTATAGGTTTAGATAGCAGATGGACATTGGACTTCTACTCAAGTACTCCCTCAATGCAAGAATACTGTGTTCTATTAAACTGGCATTCCATGATGCTCACCATCCTGCAACGATCGCTGAAGACAAACATGTGCATAAGCAAATGTGTTGAAGAAAGCTGATGGAGCCCAGCTATCAAAAGATACAGCAGCTAGGGTCTTAAAGGCTTAAAGACAAACAAGTGGCCGTTTGGCTCAGAAGCAACAAGCCCACATGGAAGAAGCACACCAGCCTGTATGATCACGAAGTGTCAAAGGGATCAGGTATTAGGCATCAAAGCACAAAAAACAAAATCATTGTGAATGAGGGGGAGTGCAGATTGGGGACCCAAGACCCATCTGTAGGCAACTGGACATCCCCTTACAGAAGGGTTGCGGGGAGGAGATGAGCCAGTCAGGGTGCAGGATAGCAACGTTGAAACATACAACTTTCCTCTAGTTCCTAAATGCTTCTTCCCCTCCCATTATCATGATCCCAATTCTACCTTAAAAATTCAGATAGACCAGAGAATGTGCACTGGTACAGATAGTAACTGGAAACACAGGGAATCCAGGACAGATGATCCCTTCAGGACCAGTGATGAAAGTGTCAATACTAGGAGCGTGGAGGGAGGGTGGGGTGGAAAGGGGGAACCGATTACAAGGATCTCCATATAATTTATTCCCTGGGGGATAGATTACAGAAAAGTGGGTGAAGGGAGACATTGCACAGTGTAAGACATGACAATAATAATTTATAAATTATCATGGGTTCATGTGGGAGCAGGGAGCTGGGAGGTAGGGGGAAAATGAGCTGATACCAAGGGCTCAAGTAGAAAGCAAATGATTTGAGAATGATGGTGGCAACAAATGTACAAATGTGCTCAACACAATGGATGTATGTATGGATTGTGATAAGAGTTGTAGGAGCCCCCAATAAAATGAGAAAAAAAATAAAAGGGAAAAAAATAGAGGAGGCCAGGAACTTCCTGAAAGAGGCGTAAGGCTAGATACGGTGAGGCCTGGAAATAGCGCACTGGCAAAGCCAACATTGACAGGCCTGGGGACGAGCCACCTGGCACCGTCAGTAGACATTTGGCAGGACCAAGAAGAACCTGTCCTTGGGACTAGAGGAGACTTTCACTGGAGGGTGAAGGAAGCCTGACTTGGGAGAGGAGCTGAGCGCCGCTGCACTGAAGAAGAGAGACTGCCTGCGTGCTTCCTGATTCTGAGCTGCGGCCTGCTCCTGATTCAACCACTGTAATATAAATATGATCTGTGTTATCTTTGTGGCCATTGTCACGAATTATCACCCATAGAGGACATACTGTGGTGAGGATGGCTGCTATCAGAATTGATTAAAAAAAAAAAAAAGTTGGAGGGTGGAGGCACCTCTGACCATCATATCATCTGAACCAGCCTCGGCCCCATCCTGGTCATCAGCCTCTCAAGGTTGGGCAGCTTCAGGTACTCCTCCTCTGCCTTTTTCACATGGGGACTGTTTTCTGCATTTGAAATCCACCAGCTTGATGACTTTGTCCATCAGCCCCTCTTTGTGAGAAGAAACGTCACGGTTTCCAGGGACAGATAAACGGAGTGTCTGTCGCTTAGAGGATTTTAGCAGAAGGAAAAGGCTGCCTGTAATAGAAGCGATTTACAAGACAGAAGCAGTATCTGATGCTTACTTGAGAAAATAAACTTTAGTCTTGTTGACATGTTGAAGTGGTTGTGGGTGTGGGTTATCTGGATTTTGTACCTAAAGCCACTGCCATCAAGTCATTCCAACACATAGGAACCCTCTGGGACATGGTAGGACTGTCCCATAGAATTTCCCAGCCTGTTAATCTTTATAAAAACAGAATGTCACCCCATTCTACCATTGAGCTTTTGGCAGGTTTGTACCACCAACTTTGGATTTCACCCAAGGGCTTCAGGCTTTAACTACTGCCACACCTGGAGTCCTTCTGGATGGCAAAAACAAAAATGTCATTTGTAAAAATGGAAGATAGGTGAACTGTTGTGGTGGAAAAATTGTGTTGTCTATATTGTCAGTTAGAAATATGCTACTAAGATCATAATTAATTGCCATTGGGTGGATTCTGACTCAAAATGAACATGTGTGAAGAATAGCTCAGAACTCTTCCATAGGGTTTTCCAGACTCACATTGCCAGAAGGTCACCAATCTGTCTTGTGAACTATCATCCTTTCACCTAGTAGTCAGGCTCATAACTGTTTGTACCCCGACCCCCGTCTACACAAACACAATGAGATACCTGTCTGTCATGAGAGAAGGCAGCCCAGCCCAAGTAGCCCCATGTAAAGCTGCACTAATGGAAAACTCTCTCTCTCTTCTGCAGAAGCAAAGTCAGAAACCTCCCCCTGTTCCCCATGCCTCCTGGATGTCTCCAGTCAGCAGTTCCTCGGGCAGCATGTGCTTCAGATCTCCCCTGAGTCTTGTGCAGAGAGTCAGTTCCATCCAGGAGATTCCAACCTCAGGCAACAGAAGCAGCCAGAGCATCAGGATTCTGATCAGAACTGCAGGAATGAAAACACACAAGGGCGGGAGAGAGAAGTCTCTAAATCCTTGTGTGGGAGCACAGGGGAGAGAGAGACCTTCAGGGCTTTATCCAGCCCAGCCTGCGGAGGATCAGCAAGCCCCAGAGAAGGCAACAGAGGGGTGGGAAGGGAGCCCCACTCCGCACAAAGGGTAAACAGCTCTGTGGAAACAGAGAAGGGTTTGAAGAAATTAGAAACCTCAAGATTTGGAGCAGTCAGCTATAAAGAGGACGAGCCCAGCTATATCCTGAAATCAAATTTCACCACAAACCAGAAGACCCTTCTGCGAGAGAAGCCACACGTATGCATGGACTGTGGACGAGGCTTTCGCCACAAGTCAAGCCTCATCATACACCGGAGGATACACTCGGGGGAAAAGCCATATGTGTGCAGGGTCTGCGGGCGAGGCTTTACCTGCCTTGCAAATCTCCTTTCCCACCAGAGGATACACTCAGGTGAGAAGCCTCATGTGTGTAAGGAGTGTGAGCGAAGCTTTAGGCAAAAGTCACATCTTATCACACACCTGCGGACCCATTCAGGGGAGAAGCCTCACATGTGCATGGACTGTGGGAGAAAGTTTCGCCACAAGTCAACGCTCACCACACACCAGAGGATACACTCAGGGGAAAAGCCATATGTGTGCAAGGAGTGCGGCCGAGGCTTTACCTGCCATGCAAATCTCTTTTCACACCAGAGTATACACTCAGGAGAGAAGTCACATGTGTGTGAAGTGTGTGGGCGAGGCTTTAGCCAAAAGTCCTATCTCCTCACACACCAGAGGATACACTCAGGGGAGAAGCCACACGTGTGCATGGACTGTGGGCGAAGCTTTAGTCACAAGTTAACTCTCATCACACACCTGAGGACACACTCAGGAGAGAAACCATATATGTGTAAGGAGTGTGCACGAGGATTCAGCCAAAAGTCACATCTCATCTCGCACCTGAGGACACACTCAGGGGAGAAGCCGTATGTGTGTGAGCAGTGTGCACGAGGTTTTAACCAGAAGGCACATCTCATCAGACATCAGAAGACACACTCAGGAGAGAAGCCACACTTATGTAAGGAGTGTGGGCGAGGCTTTATCCAAAAGTCCTATCTCATCACACACCAGAGGACACACACAGGGGAGAAGCCACATGTGTGCATGGACTGTGGGCGAGGCTTTAACCAAAAGTCACATCTCATCATACACCAGAGGACTCACTCAGGGGAGAAGCCATACATGTGCAGGGACTGTGGGCGAAGCTTCACCCACAGGTCAACACTCATCTCTCACCTGAGGACACACTCAGGAGAGAAGCCACACGTGTGCACGGACTGTGGCCGAAGCTTTAGCCACAGGTTAACCCTCATCAGACACCTGAGAACACACTCAGGAGACAAGCCATATGTGTGTAAGGAGTGTGGTCGAGGATTTGCCTGCAAAACAAATCTCCTTATGCACCAGAGGACACACTCACGCGAGAAGCCACATGTGTGTAAGGAGTGTGGGCAAGGCTTTAGCTACAAACAAAGGCTCATTAAACATGTGCCAACTCACTCCAGAGAAGCTCTGTGTTTGCAGTGAATGTGAACAAGCCTTTGACTGTAATTTACTCATCATAGACCATAAGATATAGACTGAAAGCTTTGTGTGTAGAGAAGATAAAGAATTTGAGACAAAGGCACACTTTGGAGAAGCGGTTTCTGTGGACCAAGAAGGTGAGGTACTGCGACAAGTTCTATCCTGGCACCAGAAGCCACAGGGATAAGGGCTGGGAGGGTGTTATGCAAGGCGGGAACGTGACTCCGGGGACCTTTCTTAGCTGACTGAGGAGGACAAAATGTTGCCACCACAACTTTGCCTACTTCTGAGGCAGTGTCAGAAGAATTCTGCTCTTTATGAGGGGAAGCTATCAGTAGTAATTAACTAGATTTTTCTTTCCACATTCTATACCCAAATGGAATTGAAAAGTAGAAGCTTAAGTCTAAGAATGGTTAGCTTGTTTTATTTTCATATGGCAGTTCCTGCAAGTGCTTGGTTGTCCTTTTGTTTAAAATTTTTTTAATAAACCATCAGGAACACTTGTTTATTCATTTGTCTTGAAGGCTATGTGGATTTCAAATTCACAATTCTTAGTGAACTCAGTCCTTTAGTTAAACATTTCTACGCACATTGATTGGCGAATGGAGCCCTTTGCATTGGGAGAAGAGCTGTCCAGGCTTTGGAGACAGGTGTCAAGTGAAAGGAGGGGATACCACTTCTAATAGCACGTCTTTCTGTGACTCTCTTCCTTTGTGACCTCTGTGAAAGCTCCCTTCCCTGGTTTCCCTTCATATTTTAAGCCTCTGTTCAGGTCTGTGAAATCTCTCTCCACCCATGGAAGAATGACTGGTCTCTGAATACCACGCTCCCTTTTCGTGAGGACAGCTTACCAGTGACTTGCAGAGCCTTTGGCTGGACCCAAGCTCTTCTTCGGTCTGTTGCTTTGGGCCTTGTGGTTACAGCCCATGTCTAATCACCAATGATATGTCTGAAGTCCTCAGCACACTTCTGATACTAGTCATAAGGCCTTTAGCCATGCCCCTCAGCCTTCTGAAGGGAAGACTCAGCCCTGCCAACGATGCTCTCAAGCCATTCTTGATGTCATTCGCCATAACCTCCCTCAGACTGCAGTTAGTGACAGGAAGGGAGCGCTTGTACAACAGACCATTGAGGGGGCACCTGAGGATGGTTTCTGCACATACCAAGTGCCAGCATATTGCCAGGTGGAGTTGCTCCCTCAGGGTGAGGAAGGGAATGTCTTCTAACTCCCAAGAATCCATCACTTCCCAAGATTCTGCTTCTGCCCGTCAGTGAGGTAGGGATGAGGTACTGCTTGGATGAGAGACTATGGATCATTTATGTTTTGTGACAACTGTAGGATGTCCAGCCTGTCATGTACCTCCTGCCCCAGCCGAGGCTATTATGCTTGCTGTATCCTTGGAACTCAAGCTTCTGGGGCACCCCCCCCCCCCAGCTCAGCTTGGATAAAGTTCTATCACAGAGGAGCTGTGGCACATTCACAGTGGTAGGTGACTGAGACCTTAGTACTGCTGGTCGTTTGGGGAGGTTAAGACTGGGCCCCCTGCAGTCAGGTGCCCTGGGTGTGAGTACCACCTGGAAAGCGCCTCCTGTCGCGCTGCTCAGGGCCCCCCACAGTGTGAGTCACATCTGTAAAATATACTTGCCGATATTTTCCTGTTGCACTGTCCAGGTACTGAATTCTGGGGGCAGGAGCACTGTGTTCTTGTGACTGTTAGTGGCACCAACAGATGGAGACCGTTCAGACAGGTCTTCTCTCCTATAATGGGCCTGTCCATGAAATGTTTCTCGTTGAGGTTGTTCACAGGTTCCTTGACATCCGATCAGCTGGAGTAGTTTTCTCCCATGATCCAAATGCACTTGTGCTCCAGCTGGCTCAGGCGTTAGTGTGACTGGGTGTGTTGCTGAGCCTGTACCCCCTCCAGCAACACTGCTGTCTGTGTCTCCCCCCACCCCCACCCAACTGAAGTAAGTACCTGCCTTTTAGGAGACTGATTGTGTATGATTGAGAAGGTGGGAAGGAGAAAGACAAACTTTGGGTGGGAGGTAGGCAGCCAGGCTAGGCCAAAGGGGAACTGGTGCTACAGTCTAGCCTCCCCAGGAAAGCATCTGACCTGTGTGGGGAAGTGCTCTCCTCTGCATGCTATAGTGTCCTGGAACAGGGACAGGTATTGACCTTTGGAACATTGCTTACTTTCACCACCCTGCTTCACTGCAGGACCCTCAGTTGTCTCAGATGGCAATGTGGCTCAGACTATTGGATTCCACAAGCCCTAAATTCTATGACATTTCTGTGACACCCCAGAAGAGTCCTCAAACCTGGCATACAGACATAAACTATTGGAGCTTAAACATACGAGGGGGTAACCTCCTAAAAACCAGAATCCCCCCCCCCACCAAACTATGTATTTAAATTAAAAAAAATAATTTTATTTGGAGCTCATGCAACTCAACCATACATACATCCGTTGTCAAGCACATTTGTACATTTGTTGTCATCATTTTCAGAACATTTTATTTCTACTTGAGCCCTTGGTATTAGCTTCTCATTTTCCCCCTCCCTTCCCCACCCTCCCTCCTTCATGAACCCATGATAATTTGTAAATTATTATTTTTTCATGTCTTACACTGTCCGTTTTCTCCTTTCACCCACTTTTCTGTTGTCCATCTCCCTGGGAGGGGGTTAGAGGCAGTCCCAGGGACTCATTTCTTCAAGGTGTTTGGTTATGTCTAGCAAGTTTCAATAATTTTGCTCCATATATGGTCCATCACATTCATCGATATCATTGCAGCAGAGCTGAATACACATCTACAAATATCCTCTGTCAAATCTACATATATTTGTGGATAAACTCACTCTCCTTCCCACACCTGTTTAGCCTGTCCAAGCACCTACTTTTTTTGTTGTTGTTGTTGTTTTTTTTCAAGCACCTACTTTTACATCACCACTGCTATAGGATTGTGTGTATAGATTACAGTATTTGCTTCTGTTTGCTTTAACTTTTACAAATCTTCCAATGCCTTGCCTTGCTTCCATCATTTTTGCCAGCCTCCTCTTATTGTATGCTGCTTCCTCTTCACTCAAAGAAACACTTTTCCACCATCTAGCCAATCACCATACTTTCCCTTCCTCCCCTCCCCTTGCATCTCTTTGAAGTCACCGTTTCACGCTGTGTGTCAGCCATGGATCTGTTCTCCATCACTGTGGTTCCATCTCTCAAAGATTGTATGTTGTCTCCTGAGACTGAAGGGGGAAAAAAGCATCTTTTTTGACATGGAAAATTCAAGTTGATTTGCAGTTACTCTTAGAATTTCAATACCCTTTCTGTGAGCTAAAGCACGCTGGCTTTGCAAAACTCCCAGTTTGAGTGTTGCAAAATGGACCGGTGTAACCCTGTTCTCAGTCTGGGTATTAGCCCACATATCAGGCCTGGACCCTAAATAGAAAGAGCCTATTTAATAAATGCTTCATGGAACAAAGACAAAAAAGGTGTTTATTTAGGAAGCCAAGCTAATGAAGCATTCAACACAAACAGACGGTTAAGGTCTTTTCAGTTTATAAGTAACGGTTATACTGATCTAACAATATTAGTCGGTAGGCTATAGTTTTAGGTACATGACAGATCATAAGAATGTCATAGGACGTGGTGAATGTACAGAAAGAATGTAATTATCAATTTCCTAGATGACTACTCATCAAATTTTACAAGATAAGAAGTAAAACTAGAGGGTCAAATGGAACTGACATGATGCATTTATTTGGGGGGGGGGAAGCACTAAGCAGAACTGATTACTCTTAAACATTGTTATTTAAAATCAGAATGGCTGCAGTTAGACACACGGATTGTTTTAGGGTACCAAAGAGTTCCCAATCTCAAATATAAGGAACCCATTTATTAAGTCAAAAGGGACAAACAACACAAAGATAAAGACAAATCCAGTTGAGGGAGGCCATTAGCAGGAAGTCATAAAGGCATCTAAGGATTCACAATCAGGATGTTAATTAAATAAGGCATGAAACAAAGAAGCCTGTCACAGTTCATGATTGGTGGCAGATCAGTACAATACCCTTAGAGGTGGGACTACAGAAACCGAAACAGGCCTATGAATGGGATACGCACACTGTGTTAGAAGAGCCTAAGAGATTGGTCCAGGGCCCTCTGACTAAGGCAGCCAGGGCAGGACTGAAAAGACATGGCTGGTGACTGAACCCCAGTAATGCCCATCACATGCACACCCAGGCAAGTTACTAGGAGGCTGCTGCTCCTTGGGTTGCTGCATGGGGGACGAAGTATTCCACTTTCCCATGCATTCTGCCTGAGGGCAGATTATCCACCTCAGAATTTAAGCTCAAACACAATTCCTTCTTCTAATTATGAATCATATTAATAATCCTTTGATCACCCAGGCTGACATGCTTCTTACGGAGTTTACTCCACACTTAGATGGCTGCTTGTTAAGACCCCAGGCACACTTCTTTCCCTTAGCCGGGTTCCGCGTGATTTCCTCACACTTTGCTGTATTACCCATATCTTCAATGATCACTTCATGAGGGTTAGTATACAGTTGGGCCACATCAGAACAACTACTAATGTTCTTAGATTGTTTGGGCTCAAGTTCATTTCTAACTAAGGTTTATATAGATCTGTGGTCCACTGGTGGCTTAGTGGTTATGCTTTGGGCTGCAGTCCCCAAGGTTGGCAGTGGAAACCACTAGCAGGTCTACGGGAGAGATGGGGCTTTTTACTCCCTCACGGGCAGTTCTACCGCGTCCTATAGGGTCACTATGAAGCAGTATTGATGGTGGCAGTGAGATGGCCCACTTTAGAGGCAGTTTATCACTTTGAGAAATTCCCACTCAGCTTCCCTTTAGTCAAATGAGGCCAACCACACGGGGGCTGCCCTACATTCCGCTCCCGCACGAGGAACTGCATGTCTCAGTGCCTAGCCCTGAACTCTACTTAAGCCCAACATGCACTTCCCAGCCTGCGCGGCTGCGCCGAGCCCGGGCACCGGAAGCGACTCTGACGTCGGCGTGCCCGAGGGGCGGGGCCGGAGGCCGGTCGGGAAAGTGGCCGCTGGACTTCCTTGACTGGATACATCTTGAGGAGAGAGGCCGACGGCTACTTTCCCGGGGAAC